GTTGCGAGGACCAAATACTGCCAAAGCGGAAGCATATTGGTGATTGGAGTATTCTTGAGCTGAAGCTGAAGGGCCTCGCGTTCGCGAACGGCCGAACGGACTATTTACCGCTCTTACGAGAGCAAGGCAGACACATAGCAGTGGATTATCAACCATGCCGATGTGGGACGTGTGCGCCAAGGCGGCAGGCTGGGTCGCGAAACCCTTTGGCCTGTGCTGAAACATTTCAAATATACCTGAAACGGTTCGCGAAGTCATTTCTGATGACTGTCCGATGCCGGGCACCTATCCCACCACCACCAGAAGGCCGCGTCACTATTCCTATTCCATTCCGAAGCTCTCAGTTTACTCATAGTCATCTGTCATGTATTTATCGAAAACATATAAAAGACCATGTAGAACCCGCCTTACGGAAGCTCACCCTCAGTGTTTCTAGATGGATTTCTAGTTCATCCTTGCCCCCTTGGTTGCGCTTAGACGGAAGTCGAAGCCACCTGTCAAAGGCGTTGGTGTCCTCTGTATCTGTGCGGAGATTTGTGATATAAAACATTTCTCTTGTGTAGATTCATTAATACAGAAGCTTTGAATTTGTTGGCTCCATAAGCTTTAAAGGATCATCTAAGCCAATCACTTTACCTTGTCTCGTGGAGGGTCATGGCGAGTTTGTGAAAGTCCTCTGTTAAGTTGCATGAGGCAGGCTAGTGTTCTATTGGAATCTTCCATGCATAGTAGGCTGGTCGTAGTTCATTAGTTGGGCTATTGGAATTGTTCCCACCTTAGTAGAATGGTTGTAGTCGTGCCCGCTATTGGAATCAGCCCTGTTTAGTAGGCTAGTCGTAGCTGTGCACAGTTCGTGAACCTACTGTGGTTCCCAGAGCAAGCTTTCATACCTAAACTCCAATACCTTGTGTCAGAGCTGTGCACTTTTAGTGGTTTTCAAGCTACTGTAGGCTCCTAGAGGTTCTATTCGATCCTTCTTTGAGTTGACTCTATCCCACAAAGTTCCATCTTACCTGTATACTACAGGGTGACCCAAACTCAATTATCTCGCACTTTGTATTGGTTGTGTGTTGTGTGTGTAGTGTGTGTTAGTGATTTAGTGTGGTGCTGTTCGTTGGCATCTATCTGAGGACCTTTCAGCATTTCAGCCTATACTTAGGTGCACCATTTCAGCGTGACACACATGTTGGCTGCGGGTTGTCACATTTTCCTTGTGATGCCTTTACAAGCTGGGCTTTGTTGCCAACAAAGCAGTCTCAAATCACTATCTAGATTTTAGTCAGATTGTGTAAATTTAGAATACTGTGTCAAAATACTTATTGTGTTGTTCCACACATTTTCTGCCTTATTTTGAGTAAAAACAAACACCAGCCACAATGCAGCTGCAAGTTAGCCATGAGTTGGCCATATATCAGTGCCAGATATCATCTTGGCATGCAGGATGGAACCAGCCAAGCCCACCTGACGAGATGCACCCTTGTAACGAGAGAGCCATGCTCGCTGCCATGCTCTCAGTTGTCCCACCCACTGCTGGTGTACTGCGGTTGCCTGTCCCGCTTGGTAGACCTTATTGCACTTCCTTTGTCAGGTTGCTGTGACATTCACATGTTGCCTTTGTTGGCATGCAATGACTGGCAGACATTGTCTTTGTCGGTGTGAGGGCTGTACATGCGCTGTGTGTGCCCTCGCGCCACTGCATCCACAGGACGAGACCAATTACCCGATTTGGAAGTATCAAGAATCCGCATATGGAAACTTCCCCAACCGCGGCTCGTTTGCAGCTGCTTCCCTCACCACAACTGTGACTACATCCACACCCGACGGAGGCACCACTCGACGATGACGGCCCTATGCAGCACGACTCATCTACACCCGCGCTCTCATCCTCGGCACCCATCCGCACCCACGCTCTCGTCCTCACGCGTCGCCACTCGTGGCCTCCACCCTCATTTCTACGGGATATTGCCACAGCCTGGGCCCATTCCAGGGCACAACTGTAAAACCACCCCAGAATCCAGGATATGATCGATATTCACCCCTAAATTCAACACCTCGCGCGGTCCTCACAGGCATTCAGCCCATTTTCGGACCTCGTATTGCATATTCGAGCGCTCTCTTCAATTGTTGACCTGAGCTGCACTTGGGGGCACCCTTGCTGCACTTGGGGACGCGCTTGCAGCGCTTGGGGCAACCACTCTTTTGACCTAAACTTGGTCTTACCCTTCATCCTACACCTATTTCGAGCGTCCAGCTCCTCCGGGGGACCGCACTTGACCCGATTCCTACGGAACTGGGGCTGTGCAGCTGAGAGGTATAAAAGGGACGTAGTTTTAGCACTGTAGGATAGTCAGATTTTGGTACAAGTTTTCCCCCGCTCGTCCAGAGTGTACTTGTGCCAACCAATACACCAGATTTGACTGTCCACTTTCCTTGCAGCTTCTCTTCGAAGTCTCGCGCCACACTCATTCTCGTACCTTTCACCGCGGTACACTCTCCCGGATAGTGACCTCGCCTCGCATAGTCTAGTGCCTGGAAGCTCACCGTGATATATGAGAGAGCAACACCAAGAAAGGAAGAGACTCAGAAAGGAGACAAAAGAAGTAAGACCGTTGCGTGTTTGTAAAGCTCGAGCAGGAATACAGAGTGGTGGTACGGAAGAGAGAGAGGGAGTGATGTGACGTGTGACGATCAGTAGGTAAGCAGCATGTTTACAGTGCCTCGTTCATTGGGGAAAGGCACTCCGACCGCGACCACAGTTTCCGCACCAGGCACCGCACCCACACTCGTTACCGTGCGCTCCACGAGGAGTCCACACCCATTCGATTTCATCACACACGCGCAGGCCGAGCTTCCGCTCTAATCGGTGCCCACCTCGTATTCCCCCCTAGAGGCCGAACGCAGCTGCCCCCGTGGAGCCCATTCCTTCACACAGTAGCGCAGCAGTCCTCATCACATCGGGCTACAACAGTGCCTGAACGACACCTTTGTCAGTGTACGTCGCCTCTGTCAGGCTACGGCTGTGTCCACATGACACCTTGGTCAGTACGTGTAAACGCCTGCTGCCCGCCTGCCCTTTGTCAGCTCCACTCCCCATGGGAATCCCATTTGATCCCACCCATATGTCGCCTTTGTTGGTGTACTATAACCCCCATACATTGTCTGTGTCAGGCAATGACTGTGTCCACACAACACCTTGGTCAGCACACACCCACGGCTTTTTCCATGGGGTGGCCCGCCTTCTCCACCCCCTTTGTCTGCCCAAAATACCTACCAGTGACGAGACACTTTACCTTTGTCAGCCCCATCGCTCACATGCAGCCTGCCCAGCCTCCCATGTGAAACCACCGTGCCCCTGAGCTTGCTCCACCACTGTCGCAAGTCGACATCTTGTCTGGCAGTCGTCTGAGGAGTTGCAGAGGTCAATGGATTCATGTTGAGACCTAGATCATTAGATGAATCTGAATGCACTTGCAGAGCACTACAACTTTGGTTTTTTTGAGTCACAAATTTTTCTAATGAGGTTAACAAAGTTCAGTTCAACAGACTATGAACTGGGTGCGGAAGTCATCGGCCGAATGTCCGAAATGGGTCCGAACAGTGTCCGATGGCTCAAGGCATCTATGATGTCTATGATGTGTCTGGATTTTGATGGTAGTGTAAGTCCCACTACCATCAAAATGCAGACACGTCATAGATGCCCTGCTCAAAGTTATATTTAGCAAATAGCCCAAAAAAATGACACCACCACCAGGGTTCAAACACAAGATCAACCCAATAAAGGCAAAACTTAAGTTATACATCCTAACCATTATACCATACTACATATAAAGATGGAGCACCAAAATAGATGTCTCATGTCCTGAGTTGGTCAAATACATTCCACAGATCATGTGTGCTCTGTACTCATACACACCACACGTGAGTTGCTGAGATCTGTATGGCTGCAAGATGGTCCATATCCTCTGTATGTAATGGGCATTGATTTCCCTACACAGGCCCCAGAAGATGAATCCCAGCACGATGTGCCATGTGATCAGTATCTTGCAGCTATATACACCCTGAATGTATTGCCATATTTAGAGCTGAAATCCTAGAAGCACAACAAATGGAATCCTAAGGGTGTTAAATCCCGAAGTCGAGAGTCGAAGGAATGATCCATTGACAGAAGGTTCCGGTGCTGGAGTATGATGGCGGAGCGGAAGTTTCGGATCAATCGCAAACACCACAGGAAGGTAAGGGTGTGCGTACTACCTGGACTGGCGAGAGGAGAAGTCGTTCCGATGAAAGTCGGAACTCCGGAGGACGGAAGATTAAGGCAGGGTTCAGGACAAGACGAATAGTCAAGAACGTTAATAATCAAACTGAGGTTACATAGAGGCATATGGAATATTTATACTAAGTCATAATTATGTACGGCCGTAAAGTTCATTTCTATATATAGTGATCTGAAACGGAAGAAGCCGCAAGTGAGGTTTGCGGAGCGGTGAAGTCCGCTCGAGTTGAGTGCGATAAAATAAGGAAGTTAAAAATGGGAAACGCTCAGTAATCCTTCATTGCGTGAAAACCCAGTTCGGGCGGTGTCCGTAAATCCGGATGCTGGAACTTCCCGAAGGTACGGAACATCCCGGAATAGACGGAGCTCATCGGGAGTTCAGGACGTACGGATATAACAAAGGGTCAGATGACTGGGATTATGCCCTTTTCAGGATGTTTGGCGATGACATTTGATTGAAATTTAGGGAGGCGGAAGATTTGAGATTTACGGGCTTGGCAAATATCAGGTGATTGTCAAGAAAAAATTAAAATTTCCCACAATTTTCCACTGTGGTAAATCTAGAGCAAATCACAAGAATGTATGAAATATTCTTGAGATTTACTGGTTTGTTAAATAACCGGTAATTACTCGGATTGTATAAAATTACCTTAAGATTTTCCCACAATTTACCGGCCCCGTAAATTGAATGTTGCCCCCAGTGAAAATGTTATCCGGACCCAATCCATGGCTTGACGAAGAATCGAACTCCAGACTCTCCGTCAAACAATATGCGAACGTTGCAAGATACATGGAGCGTGTTACCATTACGCCACCAAGCCATGAATTGAATGACCAGAATGCCAGATAAACCATTGTTGTGAAAGAAAAAGAAGGGTTTCCATCGGAATGGCTTGACGGAGAATCGAACTCCGGACTTTCTGTTAATCGATATAAAAATGCATTAGATCATCACGGAGTGCGTTACCATTACGCCACCAAGACGTAGGAATCGAACGACCAGCCAAAACTATCACCGTGAAAAAGAAGGGTTTCCGTCATAATGGCTCAGCAGAGAATTGAACTCCAGACTCTCTGTAAAGCATACCGTGAACTACATAGGAATGTGGAGTGCAATACCATTACGCCACTGAACCGTTCAAACATGCCCTATCTTCTTACTCGATGGACAAAAAGAACACGAGGCCTGTCAGAGATTCGAACTCTGGTCCCTCCATTATTTCAGTTTCCCGCCAGCTACGTGAACAGAGTGCGTTACCACTATGCCACCGGACCATGTGTACAACCGATACGGAGGTCCGATAAGTGGCGCACAAAAAAGGAATGGAACAGAGAGATGGCTCGACGGAGGATTGAACTCACTTCCTGCAAGAGGAGCTTGTGCAAGAACCAACACAGGATGCATTACAATTGCGCCATCAAGCCACGAATGCGTACAGCCCAGAAGGAGGGAACAGGAACTCCGGGTGGTCAAAAAGTGGATAGCACAAGAGAAGGGCTCGACGGAGGATTGAACTCCGGATCTCTCCATAAGTCAAACACTGGGGTGAAAGGATACAGAGTGCATTTACCACTACACTATCGAGCTGTCGCAGGTGGAAGCGGATAGAAGGAGAGCTAGGACTGGAAATGGAGTATCCGAGGCTAGGGCCAGCGAATCCGGACCGCGGATTCAGTGCCTGGCTGAGAACATAGATTCACGGAGTCCAAAGTGAGCCATAGACGAACTCCAGGTGGAGAAGCATGTGAGCAAGCGGGTTTGGAATACAAAGGAACGACTCCGGCACAGCCTTGGGCTGGGGGTATAAATACTACAGCTTGTCTACCAAATATCATCTCAGTTTCGGCCCACATTCTCACCTTCTAAGCCTTACCCAGCTTAGGAGTAGCTAAAACCCACCCCGAACATCACCTAGAGGTCACCCGGAGTCGAGTTACACAGTAAATCAACCTCGGCACTCCCTCGCCACCGTCAGACAGCGAACAGAGTTTCATTTGGCATAAGTTCAGCGTCAAATATCGAACTGTCTATTCCTCCCCTACGTCAGTAGGGCAGTGAAATCTCTCAAACAGCAGAACGGAGTCTTCGGAGTTCGTGTGTAGCTGCTAGCTAAGGAAGTTGGTGGTGCAGAGCCCGCAGGAAGTCACCTTCAGCAAGCGAACGGGTGAGAAGTAGAGAGAGGAAACTCCGTAGAGGCACAAAGAGGGGTAAAAAGGAGGAGAAATTTGCAGGAACGGTACCGCGAACATATAATTCCCCTGGTCTTACGATCTACGACTCAAAGATACTTCGGACGACTGTGGTTCGTGGTCCAGGAAGCCCCTAAATCCATATTTCACCTCGGACTTGACGAATTGGACCCCGCATCGCCTTCCGAAGCTCCTCCTCCGAGGAAGTATAGAACAGATTCAACCTCCGTTAACCCGAGAAGGCTAACTAGGCATCGGAGTTCGCTCAGTCCATCCTAGCTAGTAGGATTTTGAACGAACTGTTCAAATCCTTGTATGGATATCCCCACCAGTATTATTTAAAACCTCCCTATGTACTTGTCTACCGCGACAGAACAAATTCCCCCTAGAGGACAAGCATTTAAACATAGCCCGGATCTCCCCACCATCTGGCAGTTTAAAGCACCGCAGTCCGCATCACATCGCGTTGAAGAAGCCCTTTCTCTACTTCTCACTATAGAGTGAGATCCCCCTGCATAAAATCGGAAGGCTAACTACTTCCGACTTCCGTCGACAGTAGTAGCACCCTCTAAACGGACCTTCCGCTAGAGTTACTTATCCTTATTTTTAAATACATTTTGCCACAATCGCCAGGAGACTCTCAGTGACAGAATTAATTTCCCTCTAGAGGACAAGCCATTTAAATTGCAGACTACCCAAGGCACCCAGCCCACTTGGCGTCTACAAGAACTGCAGTCCACATCACACCGCCATAAGATGTCTAGAGGTGCTTGGAGCCCCCAGACTACAGTTGTAAGCTTGTGAAACACAAAATAACTGTGTTTTTATGAACACACAGAAAAGTTGAGAATGGAGAGACATCAGGAATACTGACATGTTCTGAAGGATGATGACATTTATTCAGACACTCTGCTTCAATTCTAAAGATAGAGACATGTTGAATAGCAGATAACATTGAGGAATTAGTAATACATAGGAATATATACAGACTATAGAGAATGTATTTGATATCTATTCTTGCTCAGAGGCCCTTGCTGGGGTCTCTACAGGTGAAAGTTGTGCTGAAAGTGGAAAAAGTTTCATGGCACAAATAGGGCCCATAAAATCACAGGAATTTTTTTGCCTTACTTTACTCGTATCTGTCAAGTACCGGTCCCTGACCAGGATTCCGATGGAATTCTGATTAGCACCTGCTAGTGACAAAGTGCGAATAAGCAAGACAGAGTGATCAAGAATGCGGAAAGAAAGTCGGAATCCAAACGGAAGACCGAACCCGTAACGATAGAGTTGGAGGGGGCTTGGCTTCAGCTCGTGCGCTGCACCCTTCTCTACGCCCAAGGCCTGATTTCGGAAATAGACGGGAATCCGAGAGAGAGAGTGGAGTAGGGCAAGTCTTAGTCGATATTCAAACTGAAGTCCAACTACAGACATAGATGGTATTTATACTACGCATAATAATTAAAGAAGATATAATGTAAGGGCCAGAATAATTGGTAATCCGAGACTTCCGTGATGTATCAAGTCATACTGAATACAAACAAATCAGGATAAGTCGGATATCATCGGTTGTCTGAGACTCCTGTGATGAGATGAGTCAGAGCATAGCATAGGCATAGGTATGAGTCAAAGGTAGTACGAACCAATAGAAGTAAGGGTATTGCGATAGGGCTGTGTTCGGGTTTATTCGGAATCCAATGGAAATCCAAAATGGACTTGGAAAATGCACGGTACGTGACAGTATCCATGACAAAGGACATCAATAAAGAACATGACTATCACTGAGCGCTCCACTTTTAATTGACATACTGTTTCAAATCATGAAATAATTGACGTGGATTTTGATCTGTAATTATTTTTGGTACAGGAACCCTTTTTGGGGTTTCTGTCAAAAACACCTTCCTCTGATTGATTTGGCACCAGCAAATCCCACTAAAAATTGGGTGCTGTAGATGTCAAATCCCACTGCTACAGTCATGGATGACCTATTGCCAAATCAAGCACTTCATTCGGAACCACATGGCTACACACACAAATGCAAACCCATCCCAGGGAAAGATCTGAATACCAAGTTATGGGTGTCTATGGGAAGCTACAGGACGGCACTTGCTGGCTCTGGCAAGAACAAGGAAGGGACACATAGTATTCAACCAATCTCACCCATGTATCTATCCCTCCAATGTTGTGATCAGGCTGTCATGAGCCATCAAATTGCAATGTGTGTGTAATAATATTATGGGGCTTGTATGCCCTTGGTGGGCCATATAATACAGTGGTGTGGTGTTATATCCCAAGTCAATATCGGAATGATCCAAGGGGTCGGAGGTTGGCCAAAGATTGGAAGTCGGTTGATGAGTCGGATGATTGGAAAGGCTTCAGATCAATAGCAAACACCACAGGAAACGTAAGGTGTGTGTACTACCTGGACTGGCAAGAAGTCAAGAGTTTCCGAGAAGTCAGAATATCGGAATGTCAGAAGTTGGAAGGACTTGGAAGCAAGACAAGTAGCCAAGAACATTAATAATCAAACTGAAATACCATACAAACTTGTGAAGTATTTATACTAAGTCATAATTACATACAGCTGTATTTCAATATCCTAAATAAGAAATCAGATGCAGTCAAAGCCATACACTGGGGGCAACATTCAATTTACAGGGCCAGTAAATTATAGGAAAATCTTAAGGTAATTTTATACAATCCGAGTAATTACTGGTTATTTACCAGACCGGTAAATCTCAAGAATATTTCATACATTCTTGTGATTTGCCTGAGATTTTGTTATGTAACGTGCCCAGGAGCTAGCAGTGTTACCAACTGGGCCAAAAGGCCGCTATAACAGGTTAATCCTGTCATAGGCTCCCAGACTATATATACATGATTACACACATTTGCATGCATGTAACAGATTTACCATGGTGGAAAATTGTGGGAATATTTCGAATTTTCTCGGCAATCACCTGATATATCTCAAATTTTCCGCCTCCGTAAATTTCAATCAAATGTCATCGCCAAACATCCTGAAAAGGGAATAATTCAAGGAAATCCCAGTCATCTGACCTTTAGGATTCCATTTGTTGTGCTTCTAGGATTTCAGCTCTAAATATGGCAATACATTCCAAGTGTGTATGGCTGCAAGATACGGTTGTGACAATTATCCAACATTAGGCTGATCGCATGGCACATTGTGCCAGGATTGTCATAAAGCATCTTCTGGGGCCTGTGTAAGGAAACCAGTGCCTATTAAATACAGAGGATATGGACTATCTTGCACTCTCAGCAAATCACATGTGGTGTGTATGAGTACAGAACGCACATGACTTGTGGAGTTTATTTGACCAACTCAGGACATGAGACATCTATTTTGGTGGTTTATATTTATATGTAATATGGTATAATGGTTAAGATGTTTCCATTAAATTTTGCCTTTGTTGGGTTGGTCTTGTGTTCAAACCTTGGTGATGTCACTTTTTTTGGGCTATTGCTAAATCATCTATGACGTGTCCGCATTTTGATGGCAGCGGAACCTACACTACCATCAGTATGCAAACACATCATTGATGCATTGCTAAACTGTAAATCAACATTATTTATAATATTGAAAAAATTAAACCACAAGACAGGTTTGAACCCACAACCAACAGAGTACAAGCACAATTTAATAGAATGAACTTAACCATTCAGCAAAGCAACACATGTTCATGGGAGTCAACATAAAGCACACATGTCCCAGTTTTGTCATATAAACTCCATAGATCATATGCACTCTGTACTCATACACACCACACGTGATTTGGTCAAATAACTAAGCAGTCTTTCAGAGCTGTTTTAGATGTATAGACTCTATTTGATGCCAACAGAAAAATGTAGATAGATAAATTTGAGATGTCAAATAGATCTGATTATCTCTATTTCAGGCAAGTCTTGTCTTGCTGAAATTATTGCCAAA